CGGCCTGTGAAAGTGGACAAATGCTGGGGCTGGCAGCAGCCCCCAGCAGTGTGAGGCTGGACCCCTGCATAGCCTGTGGAAGTGGGGCCAGAGCCTGCAGGCAGCCATGGACCTGGGACCAGAACCAGAGCCCCCAGCAGCTCGTGGTAGTGCAGGGCTGGAGCCTATGGCAGTGTGGGCTGCTGGCCCAGCTGGAGCAGGCAGTCCAGCTGGGCCAGGAACAGTGGGGTGGCTTGGGGCTGTGGCAGGGAACCATCTTTAGTCCGGCAAAGTCCCTGGTTCAGGACCTTTCAGGTTCTGAGGGTGCCGGATAAGAGATGTCCAACCTGTATTAAATAATTGTATTAGAGAACCTCAATAAAACAAAGTAGTTTAAAACCAAAACTCAGGTAAGCAGGAAATTTAAAGATAAAAAAATCAACATTGGAAAATATGAAATATGGTGTTCAGGTACCCAAAGAACTGTAATTCTGTTCATTTATTCCTGGCACCCTGTAGCAAGCCAAATAGGCACTTATGAGAAGTATCATGGAAGACTGACACTAACCAGTGTCTATGCTTATAACATTACTCTGAGCACAATCTGAAATGTGGACTAAAATCTTCATTTTTACAGATGGGGAATTAAGGCACACGGGATGACTTTCCCAATGTCACAAAAGACATCTAGGCAAAACAGAGAACTGAACCCCAATCTTCTAGACTAGTAGCTTGCTGCTCACACTAAGGGTATGTCTACACTACCCCGCTAGTTCGAACTAGCGGGGTAGTGTAGACATACCCTTAGTGTGAGCAGCAAGCTACTAGTCTAGAAGATTGGGGTTCAGTTCTCTGTTTTGCCTAGATGTCTTTTGTGACATTGGGAAAGTCATCCCGTGTGCCTTAATTCCCCATCTGTAAAAATGAAGATTTTAGTCCACATTTCAGATTGTGCTCAGAGTAATGTTATAAGCATAGACACTGGTTAGTCTAAAAATTGGAAACTATCTGGGTCTTCCCTGGGTTTCAGTTGCCTTTCTGAGCACCACGATAAGGGAGAATATATTTTTTTCTAAATACATTTGGACCTACTTATAGCATTTTCTTTCCTAAAATAAGACCCCACAGACGGACTGTTTGCAGAATTCTCACCTTTGTAGATTCCATTCCAACCACCCAGCTGGACATTGTGGTTTTGAGCTTCCAAGGATCCTCCATGGTCAGATGTGAAATAAGTGAATGTGTTGTTTGTCAAACCTTCTTTGTCAACAGCATCCAGAATTCTGCCTGTAAATAAAGAAAAAAACCATGCTGCTCAGTACAGAGAAATAGGGTTACAAATATATCATTAAGGAACAAAGACTGAAGTGCAGGAAGGGATGGTTCCAGGCAGGAAAGAAGGAAGACTGTCAAGGAATGGTTCAATAAAGAACTAGATAAATTCATGGAGGTTAGGTCCACCAATGGCTATTAGCCAGGATGGGTAGGAAAGGTGTCCCTAGCCTCTGTTTGCCAGAAGCTGGGAATGGGTGACAGGGGATGGATCCCTTGATGATTCCCTGTTCTGTTCATTTCCTCTGGGGCACCTGGCATTGGCTACTGTTGCAAGACAGGATACAGGGCAAGATGGACCTTTGGTCTGACCCAGTATGGCTGATCTTATGTCTTTGCATGAAATCTTGGTAGACTGCTTATACAGTACTATCTAACAGGAACAGACACTGTTTAATTCAAGTCCCATGTAGTATATAAGGGTATGTCTACACTACCCCGCTAGTTCGAACTAGCGGGGTAGTGTAGACATACCCTAAGGGTTACATTGCATTTTTGTTTATTTAATCTACTTTGACCTGTTTGGTATCACTTATCACTTAAAATCTACCTTTCTATACTTAATAAATCCATTTACATTTTATCTAAAAGAGTGTGGCTTGAATGATGTGCTTGGGGGAAAATCTCAGCTCAGGAATAAGAATTGGTGCATGTCTGCTTTCCTTTGTACAAGTGGTGGACTGGGTAAGAACTCATACACTGGTCAGGCTTTTGACCAGAGCAGAATGCTACAGGTTTGTGGTCCCAGGCTGTGGAGTTGGGGAGAAGCCTTCAAGTAACTGCAGCTGGTTGTATCCCTGCCTGGACCTCGCAGGATTGGGAGAGGTCTTCAGCTTGCCACACAGTATGAAAGAAACCCAGCCTGGTGAGAGAAAGGGCTCAGTGGTACCCCAGTTCCAAATTGCACCCCAGGAGGAATAAATCATGACTGCTACAGGCAGTGTAAATCTACTATCATTGTAAATTATAACAAGATCTCTTTTTAATTTTTTGAGACAACTTTGAATAAATAAAGTTGGTCTCATTCATAAAGACCACTTACCCACCATCCAATCCATCTCTTCCACATTATCTCCATATAAACCGTGTCTACTTTTCCCAAGAAACCTCTCTGTGGTGACGAGAGGAGTGTGCACATGTAAAAAGGAAACAAAGAGGAGGAATGGCCCATGCTTGTTTCTAAAAACAAAACAAAAAATAAATTGTCATGGCCTCAAAAAAGTAAATTTTAAGTAAACAACTAACCCCTGAAAAACAAATGTCCTTGAAATATTTTACTCTGTGTTTATTCAGTGTTATGTGTGTCGTGTTTGTACTGTGAGCTAGGGGTGGTGTAATTTCCTTGTATTTGTACACCTGCTCGCATTCTCATCAAGCTAGTGTGAGTATAAATAGAAGTGCAGTTAATGTTAGCACAGGCAGTAGCAGTGGAAGCAGGGCTGAGCCATGTCAAGTACAACCCCCTTGAAACTGTTCCTCTGTTGCTACTCCCCATGCTACCATAGCTATGTTCTACTGATACATGTGCCACATAAATGAGAGTTAGTGCAGTTATATATATATATATGAGTTGAAGAATCACATCTCTAGCTTGGAGTGTAGACATAGCCTTAATGGTCAGCTCCAGTTAACTAAGATCTCATTGTGTAAGGTGGCAAACAAACATAACAAAGAGTTGGTCCTTGCCCCCAGGAGCTCACCTCTAATATAAGAGGCAAGAGATGGAGACAGACAATGGACACAGTGAAACAATCTCATCAGCATGATAGGCAGTTGTCTTAGCACACCAGTTGCCTAACCTATTACTTGCTGGTACTGTTTGAGATATTTACAATAACAATATAGTTAAGAAACATTAAAGGGCAATATGATATTTATTGGTTACCGTTTGATAAATGAAACAGCCTCCTTAAGTACATTGGAAGCGGTTCTCTCTAGCTTCATTGGTTGTTCAGTAATGTCATAGTTTCTCATCAGGATACAGTTCCAATACTTTACAAATCCATAACAGGAGTACCAGGAGATGAAAAACACGAAACCACACAGGGCAAAGCAGATGATTGCTTTCCATTTTACTGATAATAAGTTGGAAAGTTTTCCGATCACAAGTGTGAGCACTGCAAGGGCAATTGTCTTACTGTAAAGCCAATACTTAGCTTTCAAAGATGGGCTGATCTGAGGATTTTCTGTTCCTTGACATTCATTCACAAGAGTAGCAGGCATACCATAAAAATAGTCAAAGCCATGGTTTAAAGGATGGTGGCAGTGATCACCGTGGAATTCACAGTTCACACCCTGATGCCACTTCCCTGAAAATATAAATGAAAGAGATTTAAAATCATTGGCTCTGTGTGTGCATGCCTATATTTCAACAAGTCTGACTCTTTTCCTAAATGAAAAAGAGACCAGCCAAGTCAAGGTCAGGCATGAAATGCTCAGGTAAAATTTATATGTGGAAGCATATAATAAATAGAATATCCATCTAACTCAATTAACAGAATTCCAGTTAGGTTGCAAGCCTCGATGAGGGAAGAGGCATACTGAATGAGTTCAAGAATGGAAACAATATCTGAAACTGGCTATATTAAATTGTAAAATAACATTAATTTAATGGAGGATCCTTGGGAATCTAATAAGGAGTTGAGAGTAAATAGACCAGATAGCCTATAAATTTAGTGCAATATTAATTCTTGGGAGGGAATTTCTCTGAATTTCTTTAAGCGTGGCCAAACTCCCACGCTGAAAAAAAAATCAGATAAGTAAAGTTGAAAATTATCCCCAAAATATGCTGTTCTAATCCTACAGAATATGTAAACTCCAACATACTATAGTTCTATTATAGCATAATAGGACTATAGCTTGACACTGAAAAGTGCAGAGCTATAGAAAAGCCTATTGCTGTGGGATCAGTGGTTGCAAGAGTGACAAAGAACCTCTTGAGTGTGACTAGCATTTATTGTATCACATGTGAACCAATCTGTCTTGTCCAAGGTCCAGTTCATATCTTCTCTGAGAGCTAGCACGAGACTACATATTACTAAGTCCCTCTTAAACGCACAAAATACGAGCCAATCTTGAAATGGTGTAGACGCCATTACTGGCCAACTGCAAAAGGTTAATTTTCACCCTCAGTGTGGTTAAACATCATACAGACCAAGTGTGTGTCACTTTTTAGAAGCAGTTTTTTGGAATAAAAAAGGGATGTTAAACGACAAATCCTGCTACCCTTACTCAGGCACAATTCCTCATAACTTCAGTGGGATTTCAGCTCATACTGTGGGGCCTGATCTAAAGCGCACTGAAGCCAATGAGCATCTTCCAACGTTGTGCCTAGCCTAATAGAGCTGTAGCTCATGATGGTCCTGGTTAGAGACAGGGGTGTGGTAATACACAGCACGCAAAAGCATAGCAAGTCCACCCAGCACATGAGTGAGTAAGCCGTAATTATTTAAGACCACTGCAGAGTCTGGCAAGCACCTGTAAGTCAATACATATCTCTGTTTCCTAAAACACTATGTACTGCATTCGCCAGATCTTTATTTTCTGAACTGCTTTCAATTACTGTGTCAATCCACAATGACTCATTTTGGGCTTGGCAGATATATAAAATATGGGTTTTTTTGTATCTAAATGTACTAGATTCCAAAATGTTACAATGACTGAGATTGGAAATTGTAGTCTAGCTGATTTCTACTTACTGTACCTATAAGTGCTGTGGTGTAACCTTGCTGTTGGAGTATTCTGGCAAAAGTCGTTTCATTTGGAGGGAGCCCTCCTGAGCCACCATTCCATAGAATAACACGCTGTGAAGTGGGGGATGCCATTCCTAAAGTACAGTACAAAATAATGAATGAGTGTTTCTTTTCCCCTTATTATTTCTGATGAAATAAAGTCAGGATATGGCCATAGTCTTTGTCTAGTTAAAGTGACTCGAGGAAATATACTTTTCACCACTTTCAAAGAGAGGATATTCAACAGGCTAACAGATTACAATGTGAAGAAACTTGTCCTGATATTCAGTCTGCATTTAATTTATGTCTCTTTACCCCTCATTATATCCTGCTAACCAATTCCTCCTTTACATTACTCTGAAAGTATTTGAAGGTGTTCTTATCTCATACCCCAAGTTGTCAGTTAGCCAAGTTGAACACATTTTATGTTGGAATGATTCTATATAAGTCAGTCAATATATCCATATTTATTCTCGCCTCTTTTTATGAAGCTGCCAACTCTCAGTGCTTTATGTTACAGTTGTTAATGGCTGACTACATGCAAGTAACTTTTGGCCCAGCTAAAATGAATGAGATGAAAAGGTTGCTTCAAGAAATCTTTGTGTTTCTTGAAGTAGAAACATCCCTACTGATCCTAGGACAGTAAGGGTATGGATTGGGTTCTCAATATGTTAGTGTAATTTGATATATATTGTGTGACAACATAGGAAATAATTGTATGCTACATGAAGAGGCAACTTGAATAGTGATATTGCATCATTACATTCCAGCATTATTTGGAATGTGATCACCCATTTTACTAATCAAGGTCTATTTACAATTTACTATTGCAATTCCTTTACTGTTTAGACAGCAGTGAAGAGAGGTCCAACCTGATCGGATGGGGTATCTGCCAGTCAGGAAAGCTGCTCTGCTTGGAGTGCAGAGTGAAGCTGCAGCAATGTGCTGAGTAAATTTCATACCATCCTTTGCCAGCTGGTCAATATTAGGGGTCCTAAAAAATACTCAGTCAAATTTCACACACACACACACACACACACACACACACACACACACACACAATAAAGCAGAAGCTATGACCTTACCTTAGTGTGTGATTGCCATAGCAGCCTACATCCCCCAAACCAAGATCATCAGCCATCATCAGTAAAATATTGGGTTTAGAAGCATTTGATGTATATGCCTTTAGGCATGAAACTAGCAAAGTGGCTAGCCAGCTCCTGAAATTCAAGAATAAATGAATAGAGATTTACTTAATATGGACATTTGTAACTTCCCATCTCATTTTAAATTAAATGCAGTCTGAGGTGTTTCCTCAATGGTTCCACTTAATTTTATATGCTCCCCAATCTCCATAAGTGCAGTGCTATGTGAGAACTCTGTGTAGATATATAAATAGGTGTCTAAAGTGCCAGCAGGTGGTGCTCATGAATATGTGAAATATTCTGTGCATTTTGTAGAATTAATAAAACTTCTTGTGGCATGCCATAAAGAGCTTTTTGTGTGCAGTTCTTCACACAGAGACCTTAACACAGGACAACCACCAAAGTTTCACTCACTCTATAAGCATAGCAAAATACAAAGAATACTGTCCTAATAGACTCTAGCATGTCATGAACATATTTGTAGGGTTGTCTTCAGCCACAACATTTGGTATGGAGGCAGCCTGTATCTGGAGTGAAGAGAAGGTCTTGTGTGCTGGCTTTATTACTACACAAATCTACTGGCCTCCCCTTCTCCAAAGAAATTGCACCAGCTCCAGGGGCAAATGTAAAATTAGGGTTGCAATTATAGTTGAATGGCTCCGCTGTTGATCTTTGACCTGAACGAGGTGGGTTCTTCCCCTTCAGGTCTTAAGTCATGAGATAATAGCTTTAAACAGGCATCAATTTTGAGTCCACATTAATTTTTTTTATAACTTCAACTGCTGAGAAAAGGAACATGCTCTATTTTCTTCTACAGATAACTTCAAAAGTCAAAACAGCTCATTAATTAATTAATTTTCTTACCACTGCAGTTTGAGGTGTCTCATGGCTTCTTGTGAGGCAGTCTGTGAGATACAGAATTTTGCTGTAGTCAGCTGTAAAATAGATAGATTAGATTAGAAAGATAGAGATAAGTGCTCACATACTTGCTAATTAACCATCACATGTCACAGCAGTCAGACAGGGGGGGGGAGGGCTAGTTCAGTGGTTTGAGCCTTGGCCTGTTAAACCCAGGATTATGAACTCAGTCCTTGAGGGGGGCTATTTAGGGATCTGGGGAAAATATGTCAGGGATGGTACTTGGTCCTGCTGTGAGGGCAAGGAACTGGACTCAATGACCTCTCAAGGTCCCTTCCAGTTCTAGGAGATGATATATCTCCATATATTATATGATATTACTATCATTCTGATTTATAACATACATGTGCTGAACAGTTAGCAGAAGACTATACAACCCTGAAATTCATGAGTATTTACACATGTAGTCTCATTAAACAAAGACAGTACTTGTGTGAATGAAGTCTCATGAAAATGATTAATATTTATGCAGTACAGGTTTTAATCCTGCAAGATGTTGCTGTTCTCAACTCCTACTGACTACAATGGGAGTTGTAGTTGTAAGCAGGATCTGAGGGAATGCATCTCCGACAGCTAGCTGGAAATGGAGAGAGAGCCTGGGAGTATCTATGTAAATATGGTTTGCACATGCTTTGGTTTGCTTTGTTAGCTATTCAGCAGATGAAGTGGGATTTTGCTCATTGTAATCAGCTTAATTTGTGACCCAACACCAGCTATATTTGTACTAAATGCAGAGACAGTTAAAATATGGTTACCAATGTTTGTAATTTTGTGGGAATACAGAAAAGTAAGATGGCACTACATTGTTTCATATTAAAGGGCTCACACTTGGCAGGAAGAACTTTGCAAATATTATGCTTAAAAGAAGCACATGGAATCCTTTTCAGGGGATAAGGCAGCATGCCACATTTATTGATAATATAACAATGTAGCATATGTATTTATACCCACACACAGACACACACACATGTGTCCTGTTGATGAAATAGTTACCATTCTGTTACTTGACCCAATTTATTGGCCAGATAATCTGAGTACGAGGGAGGAGCCGGGTTCTTGTCAGTCCGGACTGTTGCTCCATGGTCGTAGCAGGACGGAACCCGAAGAACCATACAAGACACCCCATCTTTTATAGGATTTTCCTTCCATGGAAGTCAATGCATTTTGCCTTATCAGGCCTTAAACAGCCATTCAGCATCACAATCTATCTTTCTGTGCCATATGTTAATCTGGAAGTTGTTCTCGCAGTCATCTGATATCAGCATGCTGACAACCCCTCATGGGTGTTGTCTTCTGGTAAAACTTGTTATCCGTTCCCTATCTTGGGGGACTTGCCACTAACTTCAGGGCTCATCAGTCTGCCTTGGTCCACTTTGTGTCTTCAGTGTCCTTTAGCTTTGTTGATAATTATTTGTTGCTTCTGAGTCTCCAGCCCCTCCTCTGACCATCTGTGCAAGCAATGGCTTTGACACTTATCTCTCCTAAAACATTCACTTTCTCATTCACACAAACATTACATTTACACAATAGTAGCATGGAACAAAGGGTACTTCTAGCCACTTTAATAAAGTTATAAAGTCTTTCAACATTAAACTTCTTTCTATCTATTACAAGGCTTTGTCTAAGACTAACATCACTATATATTACAATATTCCATCCCTTCACTTTAACATCAGAACATGCTAACATCAAACAGATCTGGAGCTAAGTTAACAAAGCTGCCTGGCCTGTCTGAGGCCTACATCTTGTGTTTAAGTTTAATCCAAACCTTATGCTATAACATACATTCATAACTAACTTATTAACTACAAAATTACAAGGCTACACAAATGCAGGGGCTCAATTTTCAGAGCTCTGTAAGAGAGAGGGGTGAGGTCAAGAGGCTATATGGCTTCCCCTACCTGGACTGTTCAAAGAATAGAGCTAAATAGACATTATAAGGTGCATGTTAGCTGTACTTAAGGGTACTTAAGAACAATTTGAACCTTCTCTATCAGGTTCATGTAAAATGAACATTCTAATTCACTATTTTTTTTTATTTTCCTTCCCTGCTCCTGACCTTATTTATTCTTGGATCTGGATTTCTAATATTCCAGTCATATGAAGAAATGGGTTGTGCCCATGAAAGCTCATGATACCATCTACATGTGGGGTTTTTTAGTCTTTAAGGTGCTGCTAGACTATTCATTGTTTTTTACGTTTTTCCAGTTATAGACTTACTTGGCTATTCCTCTGAACCAGGTTACTGGGTGGGAGCTTGATCCAGTTCTGTGTTGGATGGATGGAGAGGGACTCCTAGATATTGAACCTGGCCCTGGCTGCTGCTGGCTTCACCTGGCAGAAGGGTTTCATAGGTTCTTAGCACCTTGTGACAACGCGCCCACAAGCACCTTAATAAATAGTTACAAAAAAAAGAATAAAATACTGAATGTAGAATTTACACGAAGAAATGTTGGATTACGTGTTGGATTTCATGAAATGGACGTTTTGAGAGAAATGATAAACAATTGCATCCCTATCGATAAAGCTACATTTTATTTTGCTTGGGGTAGAGGGAATGACATTCATCTTTCAGGTACAGAGTTTGAGTCTTATTGCTTGATTTCAAACTGATAAAAGTGACATTCATACCTTCAAATAAAGCCTAAGGGCAACAGCTACAAAAGGGACTTAGCCACAATGTTGCAGTATGTGACTTAGAGCTCCCCTGCTAATAGAATCCTCAGCTCTGAGTTAGGGTACATCTAGACTACATGCCTCTGTTGCCAGAGGCATGTAGATTAGGCTACCAGACATAGTAAAATGAAGAGGCAATTTAAATAATCGCCGCTTCATTTAAATTTACATGGCTGCCGTGCTGAGCCGACAAACAGCTGATTAGCTCATGATACCTTGGAAGACAGGGGAGATTCCAGAAGACTGAAAAAGGGCAAATATTGTGCCCATCTATAAAAAGGGGAATAAGAACAACCCAGGAAATTATAGACCGGTCAGTTTAACGTCTGTCCCAGGGAAGATAATGGAGCAGGTAATTAAGGAAATCATATGCAAACACTTGGAAGGTAATAAAGTGATAGGGAATAGCCAGCATGGGTTTGTGAAGAACAAGTCATGCCAAACTAATCTGATAGCTTTCTTTGATAAGATAACGAGCCTTGTGGATAAGGGAGAAGCGGTGGATGTCATATACCTAGACTTTAGTAAGGCATTTGATACGGTCTCGCATGATATTCTTATTGATAAACTAGGCAAATATAACTTAGATAGGGCCACGATAAGGTGGGTGCATAATTGGCTGGATAACCGTAGTCAGAGAGTTGTTGTTAACGGTTCTAAATCCTGCTGGAAAGGGATAACAAGTGGAGTTCCTCAAGGGTCTGTTTTGGGACCCGTACTGTTCAATATCTTCATCAATGATGTAGATATTGGGATAGAGAGTACTCTTATTAAGTTTGCAGATGATACCAAACTGGGTGGGGTTGCAACTTCTTTGGAGGATAGGGACATAATTCAAAATGACCTTAGCAAGTTAGAGAAATGGTCGGAGGTAAACAGGATGAGGTTTAATAAGGAGAAATGCAGAGTGCTCCACTTAGGAAGGAACAATCAGTTCCATACATACAAGATGGGAAGCGACTGTCTAGGAAGGAGCATGGCGGAAAGGGATCTAGGGGTCATAGTGGACCACAAGTTGAATATGAGTCAACAGTGTGATGCTGTTGCCAAAAAAGCAAATATGATTCTAGGTTGTATTAACAGGTGTGTTGTAAGCAAAACTCGTGAAGTCATTCTGCCGCTCTATTCTGCACTAGTTAGGCCTCAGCTGGAGTACTGTGTCCAGTTCTGGGCGCCACATTTCAAGAAAGATGTGGAGAAATTGGAAAGGGTACAGAGAAGAGCGACAAGAATGATTAAAGGTCTAGAGAAGCCTATGAAGCCAGGCTTCATGAACTGGGCTTGTTTAGTTTGGAAAAACGAAGATTAAGGGGGGACATGATAGTGGTTTTCAAATATCTAAAAGGGTGTCACAAGGAGGAAGGAGAAAATTTGTTTCTCTTGGTTTCTGAGGACAGGACAAGGAGTAATGGGCTTAAAGTGCAGCAGGGGAGGTTTAGATTGGACATTAGGAAAAAATTCCTAACTGTCAGGGTGGTCAAATATTGGAATAAATTGCCAAGGGAGGTGGTGGAATCTCCCTCTCTGGAGATATTTAAGAACAGGTTAGATAGACATCTGTCAGGGATGGTGTAGACGGAGCTTGGTCCTGCCTTGAGGGCGGGGGGCTGTACTCGATGACCTCTCGAGGTCCCTTCCAGTCCTATGATTCTATGATTCTATGATAGTCTGGACGCGCAGGTATCGACATCAAAGGTATTTGTCGACCATCCAGGTATGCCTCCTGGGATGAGGTTTACCTGGGTGGTCGACAAATACCTTTGATGTCGACACCCGCGCGTCCAGACTATCGTGCTGAGTCGACAAACAGCTGATCAGCTGTTTGTCAGCTCAGCGCGGCAGCCATGTAAATTTAAATGAAGCGGCGATTATTTAAATCGCCGCTTCATTTTACTATGTCTGGTAGCCTAATCTACATGCCTCTGGCGACAGAGGCATGTAGTCTAGATGTACCCTATTAGAGTTCCAGCACCCAGTACAATGCACAGAGAGTTAAGTGCCTAAGAACAGGAGTCACAAAAGCCAGCACTCTAAGGAGGGAGTCAGCTATACTAGCCAATAGGAAATGCTGAGGCTGAGGTGGAATCAATGCCTTTCTTCTCAAAAGTAGCTAGGTACTGAAATCTGGAACAGAGGAAGGAGTCTCCATTTACTTCAGCGTCTCAGCTATGAATCCTCTTCTGGAGTTAGGCAGTGATGCCAGAGAATCAAAGCCACTCCAGTTTGTTACCTGGCCTTCACGTTGTGTAAGGAAAGCACATCATTGAGGTACCATTCCACAATTAGCTGAAGGTAGGGGAACATGTTGCAACAAGAATCAGAGGGGAAAATAACAAACAGTTGTAAGACTTAATTATAAGCTTGGGATGGGTTCATTTAGATACTATGTTACAATAGTGACACACATGTAACCCACTAACCTTCTGGGTGTGGTGTACTCATGCACCAAGGGTTCTGAGAAGATGTTAAGCAAAAGTGCGATAAACAAGGGCAGTGCAATAGTCATAGACTTGTTATTTAAAAATAGAAAGTGGAGCATCTACGCTACCAAGCCCATTATTTTGAAATAAGGGGCTAGTTATTTAAAAAGAATAACTCCTGTTTTCCACAAGGAATAAAGCTTATTTCAAAATAGTTATTTTAAAATAGTGGTAGTGTGGACGTTCCACTGCTGCTATTTTGAATTACTCTCCAGTGTTTCCTGGAGCTCTAAGTCAAGGTAGCACATCCACATTAAGGGAGCCTGCCTCGGACTAATTTCAAGGCCTCCTTGTAGCGTGGACATGCTATTTGGAAGTAGTTATTTCAGAAGTTATTATTTCGAAATAAGTTATTTTGAAATAATTTCCTAGTGTAGACATGCTCTGAGAGAGTGTGAGGGAGTGAGGGTCAGTGTACGTAAGGAGAGCAGAGAGCAGTGGAAGTGAGTGACAGAAGAAGGGAGCTCTGTAAGAAAAGGGAAAAGAGCCTTTATGTGTAAGAAGGGGAGAAGGATAGAGAAGGTGAAAGAAGTTAAGAAAAAGATAAAGGGAGAGTACAAAACTTTAAGAAGACCTGGGAGGAGGCTGAGAAAAGAAGAGCAACCTGAGGAACTTGACCTGAGAAATACAGTAAACTTCCGATAATCGGGCACCTTTAGGACCCAGGGGGTGCCGGATTATCAAATATGCCAGACTATGGGAAGGGGGGGCTATCAGGGGTCTGGGGTAGGGTGGGGAGATGCCACCCCAGACCGGACCAACCCGGCAGCACCCCAGCTGCTCTGCCCCAGGCGTCCCAGATTTAGCCGCTGCTTCAGCTCAGACCCAGGTTTCCTGGGTCAGTCCCAGATTCAGCTCTGCCCTGGGCTTCCTGGAGTCAGCCTCTGATCAGGACCAACCCGGCAGCACCCCAGCTGCTCTGCCCCAGGCGTCCCAGATTTAGCCGCTGCTTCAGCTCAGACCCAGGTTTCCTGGGTCAGTCCCAGATTCAGCTCTGCCCTGGGCTTCCTGGAGTCAGCCTCTGATCAGGACCAACCCGGCAGCACCCCAGCTGCTCTGCCCCCGGCTTTCCCAATTCAGCTGCTGGTCAGTTTCAGCAGCCTGAATCGGGGAAGTCGGGTGCAGAGCAGCTCCAATTGTCCGGCAGCCAGAGCACTTTTGGCTTCCTGATGGTGCCGGTCCATCAGGAGTGCTGGAGCATTGGATGCCGGACCAATGGAGTTTTACTGTAATGAAGTACTGAAAGCAGGCCTCTGGCAATGATTTGCGGAAGACTGGCCAGGAGAAGCAGGGCACCATCACTTCAGCATCACTTCCTACTCTAGGTTATTGCAGTTTGGGTTGCTCAGAGCCTATTGACAAAGACTGTTCTGTTACTAAAGCATTATTTGTTTTAGAAATACTGCTTGTGTCAATAACTTATTGGATGGCTGCGCTGGATCCTCTAGGAATTCTTGAGACTACCCTTGCCCAGAAAAAACCCTTGGATGATCAAGCCTGCCCTGTTTTATCCAATAACCCTGTGGTTAGGGCACTTACCTGGCATAGGTAAGACCTATTTTCAGAACCCTGCCCTGTCTGATTCAGAACAGGGACTTGAACCCTGGCTTAATGTATATCAGTGGAGCACTAGCACCACCACTATTTTTTATAAAAGAAACTAGGGACCTAATTTCAGCAAAGAGACTCTGAAAAGGCCCTAGTGCATATTGCTATAGTTCCAGTTGTAATACTACTACGTTAATGTGCACTAAGGTTCCTCTAAGCTGAATCAGCTGAAAGATCTACACAGAGTAGTTGCAGCACAGTACCTTAGTGATATCTACGATTCACTCCACTCTGGTGTGTATAGCTGCATCATGCAAGCTAGGGATGTTAAATATTAGTTAATTTAATAGTCGAGTAATCTCATGAATTCTTATTGGTTAATTAATTATTCTATAATCCCTGGGGGGGGGGGGGCCGGCGGCTGGGGGCCCCGCCTCCTGCCTCACTCCCAGGGAGCCCCCTGCCACTCCATGCTGCTGCCTCTGATACAGAGGCAGCAGCGTGGGGTGCCAGGCAGGAGCTGGTCCGTGAGGGGTGCGAGTTTAAAAATCAGGTCCCCTCATGGACCAGCAAATATTGCTTCTGTTTTTATGTTTGATCACTGCTGCATTTACAGAATGGAACCTGTAAAAAGGAGGAGAAGAAGTAGTAAGAAACCCAAGGTAAAAGATAGGAAAAGTCGGTGGGGAGTAATGCCAAGAGAAAAGTTGGATGTAAAGATGTAAGGAAAATAACTGCACCAAAGAAAGAACAAAGTCAAGTTCAAATTAGCTAGCTTAGGAGTCAAACCTGCAAACTTACTCATGTGAATAACTTTACTTCCATAAGTAGTCCAGTATTAACTAGATTTGACTTCAGTGGGGCTATTCATATTAGTAATGTTAAGCATATGAGTAAGTGTTTTCAGGATTGGGGACTCAATTCCTTAAACACTAAACTATCAGGCTTTGAATATTTAAGCTCCTTAGAATTAAAGGTTTCAATCAACTTAGACATTTTATCACAGTTAGTCACTAGATTGCAAATGTAAACAATAGGGACCTTTATCTTCAAGGGTGTTTAATCCCAAAGAAGTGGCATCTCCCTCCATTCACTGTACAGATATAGAATTTGCAAAACAACCTGCTCATACACACACACAAAGCTTTTTTTTTTTTTTCCTATTACACACTGATTCCATATCTCCTTTTGAAGGCAGGACTCTCATGGAAATCAATGGGAAATTCTGTGCATGAAGATTCCAGAATTGGGGCCTTCGTTTTGTTTAATATCTTCAGGCATCATCAGGAAAAAAAAAACTAATTCGGTTTAATTCAATCATCACTATTATTTAAAGAAATTGACACAAATGAGAGGCTCATGCTGCCAATAGCCAGCAAGACACAGAAAACAATCAGCAATATTCAACATCCAATTTAAAAAAAATCAAATTCCTTTTTAATAATATGAAAAACAAACCCTTGACTCAAGTTTACTTCTTTCCCTGAGATTCTTCTTACTCCTTGAGTTGTTAAGCAGCATAGATCCACTAGGTTGCATTTTTCAGAATGTGACAGAGCTAGACAAGTTTTGCTGCTTTTCCTCAGGCCATTCCTCCTCCTCCTTATCTAAGGTTAACATTGCCAGGATTGGCAAATGTAACTGCTGTTAAAGTTTTATACACTCCCTACTGAGCTTAGTACAAAGACTACTTCCTTAACATTGGTGAGAGCTGTGTACTAACTGTTGTTGGACTCCCTCTGTAGGCTGCTCTTTTACTGAGATTCATCTAAAAGCACTCATCACTGTTGTGCCTGAGTAACTCAAAAGAGGCATTACAAAAACAACAAAACACAGTAGCCCAATCAGGGTCTCTATCTCCCTTCCTTTCCTCTCTTGAGTTAGAGTCCTGGAGCAGTGAGGGGAGGGAGGAGACTTTCAGGCAGTGAAAGGAGTAGTTTTTGCTTTAAATTTATTTTTCTCTTTTCTCCTCTCCCTGTTTTTCCTCCTACCTTTCTTAGCCTTCCCAGCACTGCGGCTCCTAAGCAGAAACTCCCTTGGAGGATTGAGACTTCAGAGACAGCTTAGTCACAGATGTTAATACTCTGTAGTCTAAATGAAAACGCATGATTTCTGAAGAATAGGATCTTTATTTACTGTGTCAGCTGCAGCTGGGGGAGGGAAAGGGTTGGTTTATTGTGCAGTACATGTACAACAGGGAACATTTTGGTAATGAGCAACACACATAATTGTCACATCTTTGTCTGATCGTTCATGAAACTGATTTTCAAAGCCTCTCTGATATGCAGTACACCTCAATGTGCTCTTCTTACCGTCTCGGTGTCTGGCTGCTCATAACTGGCTGCCAAGCAATTTGCCTTAGTCCTCCATACCACCAGAAACCTTTCCCCTTTGCTAGCACAGATACTATGCAGTACATGGAGAGAAGCATCAACAATATAAATACTACTTTTGCTGAGATCTCACCTAGTCAATAAACTGCACCCGTGGCTTTTTAAACACCCAAAGATACATTCTACCACCATTCTGCACTTGCTCAGTCTGTAGTTGAACTTCTCCTTATTGTTTGTCCCCATTGCCTATCTATGGCTTCATGAGCCATGGAAACAAGGTGTAAGCTGCATCTCTAAGGATAACTATTGACATTTCAATATCACCAATGGTAATTTTACAGTCTAGGAAGAAAGAGCTGCCTTTCAGCTTTCTGAAGAGACCAGAGTTCCTAAAGATTCACATGTACCTTTCATGACCATCTCATGCTTATAATGGTGAAATGGCCCTTGTGATCCACCAGTGCTTGCAACATGATTGAGAAGCAACACTTGCTGTTTATGTTCTCTTTGGTGAAGTGGGCTGGTGCCAAGATAGGGATGGGTGTTCCATTTATTGCCCCACCACAGTTAGGAACCCCATCACAGCAAAGCCCTCCACTATCTCCTGCATGTTTCACAGAATCACTATCTTTTCTAGCAGTAGGGTATTGTTTGTTCTGGATACTTGGATCACAGCAATCCCCGCTGCAGATTTACCCACTCTGAATTGATTCCTGACTGACCGGTAGCAGTCTGGCATTGCAAGCTTCCATAGGGTTAACACCACTCGCTTCCCAACTGTTGGAGCAGGTTTTATATTGGTATTGTTGCGCTTCAGGGTGGGGAAAGCAATTCAGAAAGTTTCATGGAAGTGGCCCTTATGCAAGTGAAAGTTTTGCTCCCATTGGTTCTCATCCCATAGCAGCATAACTTTCTGGTCCCATGAGTCTGTGCTTGTTTCCTGGGACCAGAACCAGCACTCCATGTGTCAACATACCCAAATGCAGTCAGCATGTGCCAATTGCTCCATTCAATGGGTTCCTGAACATCTGTGAGTGTGGCCTCCTCCCATTCTTCCTCAATCAGGTGGCTCCTAGCTATGCTCTGGACCAGTGTCTCTCAACCTTTTTTTAGATAGTACCCTTTACAAAAAGTTATAAGTGCCCCCAGTACCTATAACAGACACACAAAATGTTTTTCTACCATTGCAACACATTTGTTCAAACAACTTAATCATAGCTGGGCGGGCGATGAAATTTTTGGGTGTAAAAAGTACAAAAATAATAAAGCACTGTAAAACTTAAAACAAAAATTCAGTTTTCTCCAAATTTCAGTTGTGTTGACATACCCCCCCCCAGACTTCTCTTGAGTACCCCTAAGGATACTTGTACCACTGGTTGAGAAACACTGCTCTGGACAAACTGTAGGATAATATGGGAGGTGTTGCAATGCTTCCCACAGCAGTGTGCAGCTGAACAGGGTCTGCGTGTGCTCGCCACACTACAGTGCCTGCATGAGAAAAAGGCATGAAATGATTGTTTGCCATTGCTTTTAAGGAGAGAGAGAGGAAGGAGGTAAGTGTATCATGGGAGGCTGAAGACACATATCCAGATCCACCTGCTGCAATGTTTTTGTCCCATCAAGCATTGAGAGACTTACCCAGAATTCAAATTCTGGGTACCCACAGTTCATTGCTGTGTGAATGATAGCCACGGTACTGAGGATGCACTCCACTGACTGAATATGCTTAATGAGGACATGCACCTTTGATGCTATAAAATTGGATGCTAACTGTCTACCATAATACATTCAAACTTATTCTGTAGTACAGATGTAACCAAAGATTGCATCAGAAGTGGAGACTCCAGTGATTGCATGTTCTGCAAAGGTGAGGACAGACACCTACATCATCGCTCTATAGATCTCTGAGATGGGAACATTCTTAAAAAAGGCAAAAGATGATGAGATTGATTTCGTGGAATGTGCATGGATTGACTCCATAGGGGTCACCTTATGAATTTCATAGCACTGTTTAATGAAGCTGATATCACCCTGTAGAAGCCATGTGGGAAGTGAGTGGGTGAGGCTGTACCAGAAGAGGCTCGGGATAGGTGATTGAAGTTTTAGGGGGGCAGACTAAAGGACGAGGGTGAGTGTACCACTTGTCTCTATGTGTTCTGGCTGGCGGGGGGCTTGCAGCAGCCCTGCTATCTTGGCATGTGTTAGTGTAGCTGATCCAGGTCTACCTCCCTCTTCTTCTCCTTCCCCTCTAAGGGCACAGCTACACAGCAGGGCTAAAGTTGAATTAAACGACACAACTTAGCTATGTCAATTGCATAGCTGAAGTCGAAATAGCTTAATTTGGCTTTTGGCACTTTCTACACAGCAGGAAGTCAAAGGACGAACACTCTTCTTTCAACTTCCCGTACTCCTTCTGAAATGTGGGTTACTATGAGTCAGAGTAAGAAATCCTCCAGCTCAACATTATTTCGAAATAATGGCTTGTCGTTAGATGCGCATTTTGTTATTTTGGAATAATGTCAGCTATTCCGAAATAACACTGCTGCATAGACGTACCCTCAGAGCCCCACTTGTCCTTTTCCCTGGCACTGCCAGCATCACTGGAACACATTTAGCATTGCACAGTGAGCACTGCTAACTGGGGCACTGCTGGCAGACTATCCTATCCTTTCCCTGCAAAGAGATGACACATGGGGATACGTGCACTGGGTCACATTTTACCGCTCTCCCCTCCCCCAAAGTTTTCTGCCATGGCTTTCCTGTGAGCTCTCTCCCCTGCCTCCCCTGTTTGCTGGAGGCAGCCTGAGACCAGGATGTGAGAGCTAAACACACAACACTTGCACCTGAATTTCCTTGGGGCAGGCGGCCTTGTCTAAACTGTTGGGCACAAAGGCATTTCAGCATAGTGATAAGCACAAACTGTAATGGAAGCAGAAAAACAGTTAAAAAAAGAAAGCCTGAGGCTGTTCATTAGAAATGTGATATGAAAGTAAATGTCTCAAAATGCTTGTGTCAGCAAACAGGCAGACACCACCCATTCCCACTCCTGTTCAAATCAGGGATCAAGTGAAGCTTATTGGTGCAAGGACTGTTTGTTTACCTCTCACGCGCTGGTCCCAGGCTGCCTCCAGCAAACAGGGAAGGGAGGTGAGGAGGCCCTGGCAGAAAGCCTCCCCATGTGTCACCTCTCTGCAGGGAAGGGAAGGGATGGGATGGATGGTTTGGGAGCAGGCATCAAGACTAAGAATAAGGAAGCTTCTTTCTGTGCTCCTATACCTTGCAAACCTCATGGAGGATCATGGGTTCTGGCAAGATGCAGCTCCCATGTAACAGCGTGAAGCCACATACCAGGCATCTATCCTTGCCTATTCTGTGTCATGTTGGGGGGTTCAAGCCACTTCATCTTTAAGCCTATTGGGGATACCCAGAGCTATAACCCACTGTGTTACATCTCTGCCTCAGTCAGAGTGAATATTGCTGGCAATTCCCTGCTACACCAGTCTGTCTTCTTCACAAGCACACTCCTGCAGGCTCTCTCAACTCAAACCTAGCCAAGTAGGGAACAGTCAATGAACTCCAGCCCCAAACTACTCAGAGACGTTTCTTTGCAATGCACAGTATAGACTTGGTTCGGTGGCAGATACCAGGATGATTGTCAACAAAGCATGGTCGTAGCTCCTTAGGTCAATGCCTACAGTTACTTTAGCACATGAATGCTCCATATAGTGGACTCAGCTCAGTGAATAGCAGGACTTTCTGTTGTCCCTTCAGCTGGACAAAGACACACCTCATGTGACTCTCTTTTACAAATGGTTATAAACAAGTGACATTGCCAGTCTGCCAAGGTTGGCTACCGCCCTTTACCTTTTATCTGTTTGATGGATACATTTGTATCCATCACACAGTCATCCTCACCTATTCTTTCAGAAGGGCAAGTGTGGTCCTGTGTCATTTCTAGGGAGTATGTAACTCTGTATTGTGTTGTTCTGGAATTACCTATCTGGGGTGTGGTTATTGAGTGTTTTGTGCCTAGCACTTTTTAGCAGTGTTTGAATGTAAGCAATGCCAGCCTTGGTCTTGCCACATGTATCTGCAAGTAGACATGTTTTGTAACAGGTCAAGGTCTGATTTTGTTTGATTCTTGCTAATTATGCTTTATATTAGCAGGGCTCAACCTTGTTTAGGTCTTAGACCTTACAACAGGACTTTTCTACCAGGCCCCAGGTCTCAGGTGCTCTCTCTTACACTGACCTAACCGCCACGTTCAATTATTTTTGAATAATTGAGTTAAAAACCCTTTGGAGTTTCCCATGGTTTTTTTGTTCAGCCTGATCTACAAAAGCACTATTAAAACAAAGTGTGTGACATTATTCTAGTTAAGATAGTTACTGCTGTTCACCCCTTGCTTCTAAGTTTAGACAGTCAACTGGTGTTACTGAATTTTGAGTTGTGTGCTTTATTTTTCCCTCCTCCTCCTCTCGCCTCCTACATCTCACTTTCAGAAGCAAATTCTGATATCCAAAATGTAGTTTTTCATCTGACAAATTATTTATTTGGGAACATACATTGGCAACAACAGTCATTAATAAAACTCAATATTGGAATGGTATAGGAATGGGAAAGAACATATAGAAATTGTTTCTCGTTTCATACTATTGAGATGAATAAGTCAATTTCCTTCTCTTTGTAGCATGACATGGGTTATTTTTTTCTGCTGATCGGCTGAAATGTGCAAGTCTAATGTTTACAGGATCAGTCCTAGACACACCTTAAAAATACATATTTAGAAATCAGTTCCCATTTACTTGCTTTCCAAATCCCAAATTCTTCCTACTGCAATTGGTAACAGAATTAATGCCTACAAGTAAATGAAACAATACAACTCACAGTATGGTTTAAGTATTGTGCTTATATTAAACTATGGCTGCACATATATGCAGCACACAGATCCCATAGTCCTCCATGCGGAACAAACTAGACATTAAAATGAAAGGCTTCTGCTTCAGTGGAAGTTGTAAATCATGGGTCAAATTTGCTCCAATCAATCTGAGTGGAGTTATACCAAGGGTGAAATTGATCAGTTATTGCTGAAACCTTTCCTGAGCAGCACCAAATTCACTTGCATTTTTTACTCATTGTATTACATTAAAGAGAATTCTCTAAACTACAGGCAGTCCCCTGGTTACATGGATCCGACTTACAGCGGATCCCTACTTACAAATGGGGTGAGGCAACCCCACACTAGCTGCTTCCTCCCAGCAGACCAGGGAGCTGCGAAGCTAGCCCCCCCCCCCCCCCCTCCCCCCCCAGCAGACTAGGGAGACGCGGAGCGGCTTTTCTCAGCAGACACCTCAGCTTGAGAATAAAGGACTGAGGGAAGTGAGGTGTGGGAGAATAATACAAGCTCTGGAGAAATGTTTGGCTAGAGTTTCCCCTACAATATGTAGCAGTTCTGACTTACATACAAATTCAACTTAAGAACAAACCTACAGTCCCTATCTTGTACGTAACCCGGGGACTGCCTGTATATTCATTTACTCAAGCTGACTGTAAATATACAAAAGTAGGGTTATTTATTTGATATATCTTTATTGGCATCATTGATTAGTTAATCTGTCAGCTACAAACTATAACAGGACCCTCTGCCCACCAACAAAAAGCTGTTTTTTGTAATGATATGCAAACGAGAGTAAAACAATTTGTATGAAAAATATTCTGCTTTTTGGCATGTGTGATCATTTGCTTTACTGTTATCCAGTTAAAAGTTTGCAGTTGAAAAATTGCAGTCTGTTCTTAACTAAACAAGTTTCTCTTTTTCTTGTGTACATATCTCTGGCTGTTTCAAATATTTATCTATAGTTAACCATTCATAGACAATAGAGTTATACCTTTGTAAGGCAGCAATGTGCTGGAGGAAAAGAATTGTAACACAGAAGCCCCTGTGCCTGGATGCTCTATGGCCAAAATATTCAGACCTGGATGCCTCGAGTCAGACTTCTGAATACACACTGGAAGGCACAGTCTCTGTAAGTCCTATCCCAGGTGTACAAGGAGTGCACTTTATTCACCTGGCTAGTGGCTGAGAGCGAAGAGGAGAGACTGCTATCTTAACCCTCTTTTCCTTACTTTCTGACTGTTTGCTCCCTCGAGAAAGAGACAGAGTGGGGTATGTAGGTATAATTTGGGCCAAAGGCGACATAATTTGCAGAAATTATGCCACCTCAAGTAAACAGAAACAGAGCATTCACAGCTGCAGGATTTTATGAACAGCCATTTATTTTACAGAGCAGGGTGTGCACTGTCACCTTCCTTGTCACACCAGCAAAATGGGAATGTCCCACAGCACGGCTGCAGCCAAGGCTTCCACATAATGTTGTACAAGGAGAGCTGCTGTGGGACGGGAGTCAGGGTCTGGCGATGCTCCTCCACCGCTCTTTCAATTCTGCTTATTACTGTGTCAAACAGGGGCTCAGTGCCAGGTGAGAGAGGTTTGGCCTCAGATGGGTCTCTGGAGAGGTCAAAGAGCAAAGGAGGGTCGTGATGGGTTACACCGTCCCCAGAACATGGACAAATTCCTCTTCCATAACATGCGCCAGCACCTTCTGGATGGAATATTGGGGTCACATAATGAGCCTTCCACAGTGCCCCACCTGGCAGGAGAGAAACCAGACATAGGTGGGTATCTGGGTATAAAAGATGTATATAGCATGGCCCAGTAGTACTTGAGAGTGCTCTTTTAATGAATAAAAAACATTTACCAACTAAAATATACAGGGCTACAGACTTTTTTAAAGTCTTTCACAATAGACCCCTAATTTTGAAGACACTAGACACTGTGGACATGAAAAACTTCTAGACATATTTCTCAATCTATTGTATACAGCTAAGCCCTGAGGTTTGTCTACACTAGCCCCCTAGTTCGAACTAGGGAGGCGAATGTAGGTATTTGAAGTTGCAAATGAAGCCCGGGATTTAAATATCCCTGGCTTTATTTGCATGTTCCAGTCCAGCTGCCATTTTTAAATGCCACTAGTCCAGACTAACTGCCAGCGGCTATATGCGGCAGTTAAACGGTAATTTGAACGAAGTCCTTAGTTCACATTTCCTGTTACTCCTCATTCCAGGAGGAGTGGGGTATGTAGGTATAATTTGGGCCAAAGGCGACATGATTTGCAGAAATGATGCCACCTCAAGTAAACGGAAACAGAGCATTCACAGCTGCAGGGTTTTATGAACTAACAGACTTAGTTCGAATTACCGTTTAACTGCCGCGTGTAGCCACGGGCAGTTAGTCCGGACTAAGGGGATTTAAAAATGGCGTCTGGACAAGAAGATGCAAATAAAGCCTGGGATATTTAAATCCCGGGCTTCATTTGCAACTTCGAATGCCTACATTAGCCTCCTTAGTTCGAACTAGGGAGCTAGTGTAGACATACCCTAAGATACAACCGGGTTTGCTCCGATCCCATAGACAGAGACAAATACCTACAGGATCTTTATAGAGCATTCCTAAAACTGAAATGCCCACCTGGAGAAGTGAAAAAACAGATTGACAGAGCCAAAAAAGTACCCAGACTTGAATTACTTCAAGACAGACCCAAAAGAGGAAATAACGGAATTCCACTTATTACCTACAGTCCACAACTCAAACCTCTCCAACCCATTATATACAAACTACAACCCATCTTGGAAAATGATCCCTCAGGGTATGTCTACACTACCCCGCTAGTTCGAACTTGCGGGGTAATGTATGCATACCGAACTTGCTAATGAAGCCCGGGATTTGAATTTCTCGGGCTTCATTAGCATAAAGCCGGCGCCGCCATTTTTAAAAGCCGGCTAGTGCGAACCCCCTCCCGCGCCG